ACTGTGACAAACCTTTGCAGGGCAGGCTGTGGCAGCAGTGAGCTCCTCCCTGCCTGACCTGCTGTTGTATCACTCCACGCTCTCCTGAAGGATCAACAGTGTAACCCTGTGCTGGACCAAGCATTACCTTTCGTAAGGATAAATCTGACAGCTTTTGTATAAACATCTGGCTGACCCTAATGCCACTGCTGGATCCCAACTCTTATTGCAGCCCCTTGCTTGGCTCACTGGAAGATGAGGCTGTAGACAGGAGCTATGATACCAAAATCTGATTCTTTTTGGGTTTGTTCTCTATCTCCTTTCAGCATCTCCTATGTCTAATTCCAGTACTTCTCTTCCCAGGTCCTCCATCCCACAGCTGCTCTGTGCCTCCCACTTGCTGGGGTGTCCTGAGCAAACAGTGGAGCCTGCTCCGCCAGGTGAACCAAAAAACCCACCATTTTCCTGACCTGGTGCAAATTCCTGTCTCAACCCAGCTGGGTTCCTGGCCAAGGGCAGACCTCTTGAACGGTTCTTGTCTGAGCCACATTGTTAACAGCTCTTTTCAAGTGAGAATTTAAAATGTTTTATTTTCAAACATCTCTGCTTTCAGATTTGAGATGTGAGAAGGTGTTTGTGCACTAATCAGGCAGCCAGTGGCAATTTCATTCCCCTGTGTGTGGCTGCACAGAAGGTGTGTGCTGGTAAGTTATGCCACTCATGAATCATGCTTGTCCCTGCTGCTGCTCCATGAAGCTTTGGTAGAAGAGATCCATTCTTGGAACTATATTGAAGTTCCCACGTATAATCCAAAAATGCTTCTGTTCTCCAGATACGTTCTTGTGCTCTCTCATTGGAGGGTGTCTGTCTCATTTGGGGGCCAACACAGAAATGCTCTTTCTTATATATTCACAAAATATAAGTTGTCAATGAAAATAAATGTGTACTTGGGCGGCACAGATAGAAAAAGTAAAAATTATGGGGTCAGAAAAGAAAGACAGTACCTTGGACCTTGTCATCCGCCTGAGGCTGTGTGGTGACTTGATATCATTACAGAGCCTTGAGTTTCCTGAAATTATAAAGCAACATCAAAGTGATAGGTCAGCATGGTTTTAAGTAAGAGTGGAGCAGTTCTACCCTTGTGGGTAGCATGAAGAATTCCACTCTTATGCATTGAATATTAAATGCTTCAGAATAGAGATGTTTGGAGCTCTGACAAGAGTTGTAACTTCCCTTGATGTCATATGCAAAGTCAATATTAGTTTGGGTCAAAGTCATGTCTGAGCTAGAGGAGTTTGGCTTGTTTGTGATTATGGAGTCACCGAAATGTATGGAATCTTTGTGGGTATTAATCACAGGATAAATGTTTAGATCACTTATTTAAACTGCTATTGCATTAGAGAAAAACGTTTGTGGAAAAATACTTGTTTTGTAAAGAACTATAAAAGTATTCCATCAAGTTCTGACTTCAACACGCTGGTAAGAGTGCAGTTCCAGTGAGTAATGCTGCTGGAGTTCTCCACTCATCTTTGTAGAGAGGATGCTTTTTTGGGAGTTGATATTTTTCTTCTCCTAGTCTGTTGGTTTTTCCAAGGTGCAATGGAAACAAAGGGATTCTCATGACTGTTTTAACTTTACTTCACGGGAACCTTTTTTATAGACATTATGCTGAATTCAGCTTCTCATAGAAATCCTTTAGAGGACATTCCATGCCACAGAGAGCAAAACAATATGAGTTCAGGCAGCAGTGACTTATAGTCTGGCAAGATAACAGGTGACCTCTTCCCTCCATCTCTGGCTGGGGCATCTTGCAGTGATTCTTTTAATTAGAACATGACTTGCAGGTAAAACATGTTATTGGTTTTGTAGAGGTTCCTCTGTCACTTGTGGAGACTTAATTGTTTTGCTGCATATTGCTGTCCTGTTAATAAAGGAGCAAGTTTAGTAGCGACTTTTTACCAGAAGGAACTGGATCAGGTTCTTACAGAATACATTGTCACAACTTGGTTTTGTGTTTGGGACTGAAATTCAGGGAAATTAAAGCCTTATGTCCTGTCTTGAACAGGTAAAATGAAAACCAGTAAAGTTTACAATATATTGCTTGCTTAGCTGAAGACTTATAAAATTATCTTCTATACAATCTATTTTTGCAAACTTCAGTGGCCTTCCAGTACCTGAAGGGAGCTTACAAGAAGAATGGAGAGAAGTCGTTTCCAAGAGAATGTAGTGACAAGGGGGGAATGGTTACAAACTAGAAGAGAGTAGTTTTAGATGAGATATTAGGAAAAAATTCTTTACTGTGAGGGTCTTGAGATGGTGGAACAGCTTTTCAAGAGAAGTTGTGGATGCTCCATGCCTGGAAGTGTTCAAGACCAGGCTGGATGGAGCTCCGAAAGACCTAGTCTAGTGAATGTGCCCCTGCCTGTGTCAGGGGTTGGAAGAAAACGATCTTGAAAGTTCCTTCTAACCCAAACCATTCTGGAAATAATTACCCTTATATGATATAAGCTCTAAGTAATCAGCATTAATATGTTAATTAATGTAATGACATGTTTGCACTAAGGAATAGGTTATATGGGTTAATGATGCCCAAACTCTGTAATTTGATTGTTTTGAGCTGTATATAGTGAACAGGAAGTGAAAGCAATTTATGCAATTATGTGGATAGTGTAAACAATCAGACCTGACAGACCATGAATTTCGGGGGAGTGTTGTTATATGCTTCAAATGTACTCTTAGGCAGGCAGTTGACTCCAATGACCCAAAGAACCCACAGACCACCTCAAAATACATCACCACAGGGTTTCCCCATAGTTGAGAGTTTTTGTTGGGTTACTGTTTTTCTTTTTTTTATTGTAGGTTAGACCCTGGCAGAACTAGGGGGTGCAATGTAACCTTGTAATTGGCAATCACAAAACTCTGCCTTGCTTTCTAAATGTCAACAATATACTCATCAAATGCTCTCAAGGTTGTCATAAAGTGGAGCTGATGTGGAGATTTTTGAAACATCAGTGAAGTTTTGGTTCATAGTACAAAAATCAGCTTAGTTCCACGTTTTATATATATATGAATTCTTGGTAAATATTCTCATTGAGCAAGAGGGTTGTTTTGCAGGGTTGAGGATGAAAAGCTGCAACGCATTTCTGAGCACAGGTGACAAGCCAGTCTTTGAAGGTTTCATTGCACTCAAATGACTGGAATATTAGAAGAACCAGATTTGAAAATATCAGGCTCAAGACAGGGCAGTTTGGCAGAGCAGCCATGTGGGTAGCTGGAAGAACTCCAGGGAATAGACTCAATTTGGGCTAAGTGTTAGCTGAGTAAGGCATGACTAGTAAGACTTTTTGACAAAGCATTTTTAGAGTCTGTTGAAACTGTGTATTTCCCTTGAAGAAAATCAAACATTAGCAAGTTTTCCCACTAATTCTAAAATAAAGCTCATGGTCTCACATTCAACTTGTGTGGTGGCAAACTGCCTACAGTTCACTTTGGAAGCCTCTCTAGGACTTAATAATCATCAGTGAATTGAACTACTTAGGTCATTAAGCATTCAGCTGTTCTGCCATCTCAGTGTACAAATGGGTGCCTGCTTTTCATGTCAGCTGGGATTAGAATGTTGGAGAGCAGAATACTGAATTAATTGAAGAATTAGCATGGATTGATTTACACTTGTGTGAGCTGTAAGTGATTTGGATGGGGAGGCTGGAAGTGTTTACTGGGGGATGCAGCAGTGTGGGAATGGGCATGGGCTTTAAATGTGTGGGGGCAGGAAAATGTTTTGGATTGTGGCACTTTTTGAGATGGAGGACAGGTGGAATTTGTGCCATGGCATGAATAATACATGGCATAATTTTTTTGTCTTTACCTCCAGTGGCTTTGTGTTTTGGTGCTGGGCATAATGCAAAGGGGTGACTTTCACTGAGAGCAAGTGTGTTCCAGCAGGCTATTGATTAAGGGTGTAACAGTATTGGTTTACTTGGTTTAGGCTTAGTAGATTCTGTATGTATAGGGGAATGGTTTTAAATGGAAACTGTGAATTTAGAGTAGATACAAGGGAGAAATTCTTCACTTTGAGAATGACAGCGCAGTGCAGCTGAGGTCGTTTCCTGGAGGAGGGAGGAGTCTGGAGTTGGGGTCTGATCCAAGCGAAACTGAGGTAGCCCTGCCGGTACTGGGTGGGAAGGGCTCTCCAGGTGAGAGATAAAGAGCCAGAGCTGGTGCTTGGGCTGGCTGCTACCAGCTCGGCTATGAGAGCCTTCGGCTTCCCAAGCTCAAAACAACCACGAGGTATGGAAATTTAGGTTTGCTTGTGTTTGTGAATGTCACAGCTCAAGGTGCACTCTGTGTGTGAGATTTTCAACTCCCTCCCCTAACTTTTCCTCTTCTGCTAGGATTTTTAGAGAATAAAGCACATTTTGGCCACTGGTGAGATGTGAAACTTGGACCAGATAAATGAAAAAATACAAGTAATAGCACTAGTATCTGCACTGCAAAGCATAATGCCTATTTTGCCACTGAGGAGAGGGGAAAATGACGCAAGGGAGCAGAGTCAGTGTTGTAAAAAGGCAACACTCTTCTCACAGATGGTTACTACGGGAGGAATTTATCTTGAGTACAGTGAGGCAGTAATGCCTTCTAGGAGTTTTCAACAAATACTGGAGCCTTAACAAAAATATTTTCCTATCCTCTTCCTAGGCTTGATGTACCAGGTTCCTCCAGCCCATGGTGGCTCAGAGCAGTCTCCTCTCTGACCAGGCTTTGGATCCACTTTGTCCCTTTGTGCCCCATGGGTCTTGCCCAGGAGCTGGAATTGCACTGAAAAGCTGATTCACTTTGAGCATAGATAATTTTATTTCAGCAGCTTAGTCAACTCCAGTGTTTGCCTGCACAACAGAGAGGAGTGTGGGCAGGATAGAGCAGGCTTTTGACACTGTGGCTGCTTTTGGATCAGAAGGCATTGCCCCAGCAGGAAATGGTTGCTGTGCCCTGCAAGGTGCCCTGGATCCTGTCTGTTCTGCTTCTCAAACTGTGTTCAGTCCAAGATCCTGTTGAAGGAGTTTCTTCACCTTTGTAAAGAAGTTTACCAGTTTGTTGAGTGGAAATGGGCAGGAGCTAACCTCACCCAATGGTGTTGGCTTATGAGTGGGGAGTGCTGTCGTCCATGGATTCTGAATGGGGATTGATGTCGGCACTGGTTTATGAGCAGGAGGTCGTGTTGTCCATGGTGTAAGACTGGGAGGTCTTGTTGTCCACGGCAGAAGAGTGGGGGGTCGTGTTGTCCATGGCAGAAGAGTGGGGGGTCGTGTTGTCCATGGTGTAAGAGTGGGGGGTCGTGTTGTCCATGGCAGAAGAGTGGGGGGTCGTGTTGTCCATGGTGTAAGAGTGGGAGGTCGTGTTGGCAATGGCTTATGAGTGGGGGGTCGTGTTGGCCATGGCATATGAGTGGGGGGTCGTGTTGGCCATGGGTTATAAGTGGGGGGTTGTGTTGGCCATGGGTTAGGTGTGGGGAGTCGTGTTGGCCATGGGTTATAAGCGGGGGGTCGTGCTGGCCATGGGTTCTGAATTGTTTGGTGGGGGGTCATAAAATGACTCCAGCCTTGTGATGTTGGAGAATCCCTTCCAACTGTGTATGTGCCTGTGTAGGCCAGGATCCAGTCATAGAAGTACCGAGTTGAGGTGTAGACTCCAGGCTGCCTCGCCCTGGCACAGCCTTTTCCCCAGCTGGTTACTCCAACAACCCACCAGTAGTCAGCGTTGTTGTCCTGGCACATGAGAGGACCACCGCTGTCACCCTGCAGCAGAGCAGAGAGCATTAAGGTGGTGTTGGTTGGCCACCACCAGCACTGGGGCTGCCTCCTTCTCTCTCACAGCCAGAGGTATTTTCAGGTGTTGGAGCCTCCAGAAACCTGGCTGTGAATGGCTTGGGGTCCTGTAGGGTAGGGCTCTCTCTGTCCTCTCTGCACAGGGCTCCTGCATGTGCAGAGGATGGACATTTGGCACATGGATTTCTCAGCTGCCAAGAGCACTAGCTGGGCTTTCTGGCACAAGGGAAGCACTGGGCAGGCAGGTGTGGATGGGGAGTGTGTGGGAAGCCCCGAGAGCAGTTGTGGGGAGCTGGGGCAGGGAGGGTGACTGAGTGGCTGTGCAAAGCAGGTCCTGGGCTGTGTTGAAACGGTGCTGTCTGGGCTGCTGGTGCTGCTGGGATCTGAGTGGCTCATGGAATGCTCCTACCTGGCAGGTGTCGATGTTGCCCTCTGGGTAGCCAGCACACAAGTTGTGGGTGTGGATTTCCCCTGCATACCAGTCACTGCTGTTGCAGAGCTGGACATTGATGAGCTTGACGCTGGCCTCCTGGAGGCGATCACTTGAATCTTGAGCTGTGAGCAGAGAACTGAATAAGCCCCTGGCAGCACCATGCCAATTCTCCTCATCTCTCTGGGTGAGGATCCATTTCCCTAGGGTTTGGCTTTCCCTCTGCAGAGTCACTGAGGTGCTGTGTCTCTGCTGCCTATCTTTGGGGAGCAGGCCAAGTCCATCTCTGCAGAGGTGTAAATCCTGCAGCCAGGCATAGGCCTCATCTGTAAGGAAGTCCAAACCCTCTCCCCAGTGTGATGAGCTGGATCTGATGTCACTGTTGGGAACTCACCTCTAGCAGCAGTAGAACCCCAGCCAGCCACCCAGCAGTTTTGCAGCTCTGACACTTTAAGAGTGGGGTGAGCCACACAGGCAAGCTGGATGTTAGGGCTGCACTGGACAGGTTGGTCCAATTCCATCAGGGCAATATCATAGCTCATGTCATCAGGATTGTAGTATGGGTGTAGCACCACCTGCTTGACACTGCGCACTGCGGCCCCAGGGCCCGGCTGAGACAACTGGGTGGCTCCAATCACCACGGACATCATGCTGATATTACTGGAAAGGAGATGGAGAGAGGGCTGAGAGCGAGCAGACCCATGTGCCTCAGCAGCCCAGCAGTTGCCAGAGCTCTGCTTGGCAAGGCAGAGAGGGAGCCGTGTTCTGGCAGGTGTGAGTGCCCTCGCACACTTTAGGCTGGGGAAATGCCAATCTGGGATCTGCTGGGAAGCCTTGACACAAGCCCAGGCTTCTCCTGAGCAGTGTGGCAGCTGGGCTGCCTGAGAGGGAAGGGGATGGGAATAGCAGGTGTTGCTGCTGACAGGGCACCTGCTGGTGTTGTGGGGATGCCCCCGTTCCCTGCTCCTCCTTACTCAATCTTGTCGAAGCAGTGAGCTGCTGTGAGGACCCACTGCGTGCTGATGAGAGACCCTCCACACCAATGTCCCAGGTCTGGCACCCAAGGGTGCTGGATGCTGACAATCCAGGGCCAGGTCCCTGGCAAGGCATCTGAGCCTCCCACGATGCGTGTCAAGCCGTAGTCATAAGCCAGATTGCCATAGTAATAATTCATGAGGTTGTAGTCAGGCACCACAGCTCGGAGCCCGCAGGTTCCTCTGCAAGCACAAAGTAATATCCTTGTTGCTTCATGGCCTGCTGTGGCTCAGGCTGAAGCTCAGCCCTCTGCCCTCCCCACAAGGGCTTGCACGCACAGCAGGCCAGGGAAGCCCATGGCGTGTGCGTCTGTCCGTGCCAGCACCTGGCTGCTGGCAAGGAGCTGAGGCTTCCCCATGGCGGGTGGGAAGCTGTGGCCCGGCCACGGGGGACAGGCGGGCCCCTCCA